CCCTCTCCATCATCCTCTCTCTCTGTATCATCCTCTCCCTTTCTCTCCATCTTCCACTCCCTCTCTCTCTATCATCCTCTCCTTCTCTTTCTATCATCCTCCCACTCCCTCCCTATTTTTCAACCTTTCCCTTTCTCTTCATTATCGTCTCTCTTCCTATCTATCATCAACTCTCTCTCTTTCTCTATCAATATCTCCCTTCTCTTTATCATCCTTTTACTATCCTCCCTTTCTATCTTCTTCTTCCTCCCTATCTATCATCATTTCCCTTCCTCTTTATCACCCTTTTCCTCCTCCCTCTCCTTTCCCTCAGTTTCTATCATCCTTTCCCTTCCTCTCTATCATCCTTTCCCTTCCTTTCTATCATCCTCTCCCTCCCTCTCTATCAACCTCTCCCTCTTTATCATCTTCTCCCTCTCTTTCATCTTCTACTTCTCCCCCTCTCTAGCATCTTCTCCCTCTCGATCATCCTCTCCCTCTCTATCATCTTCTCCTCTCTATAATCTTGTACCTCTTACCTCCGCCCTACCATTCTCACCCCCTTCCTCTCCCTCCCTTTCTATCATCCCCTCACTCGCTCTCTATCATCCTCTCCCATTCTCTCCCTCTCTATCATACTCGCCCTCTTAATTCCACTGTATCATATTCTCTCTCCCCCTCTCTGTTATCCTCTCCTTTTCTCTGTATAATCCTCTCCCTCTGTATTATCCTCTCCCACTTTCTCATTACCATCCTCTACATATCACTCCCCCTCTATCACCCTCTCCCTCTTCTTTCCTCTCACCAACAACCTCCTTTTTTCTCCCTCCCTCATCCTTTGCAAACCTCTGTCCTCATCCTCTCATTCACCTCTCTCTCTATCTCTCTTTTTTGTCCATCTGACGCAGTTACAGGTACTCTATTGTGTCATGAAATAAACCAAATAGAGGCATTATTTTTTTCATAATTGTTTTAAAAAAGTTTTTAAATTTATTTTTATATTTTTATTGAGGCATTATACATAGATGTTTCATATTTATTTCCAAAAAAAAAAAAAATGGGATTAATTGTTATGTTACAATAAGGAGAAAATTCTGATCGTTATTTTACAATTAAGTAACAGGCATCTTAAATAGCTAAAATAGGTACAAATAAGTGTAAATCCTCAATAAAATACAATAGAAACTTAGAATAGAATATTTTAAAATAGTCTATCTAAATATACATGTAACAAGCAACTTAACTAAAGTAACTATACATGAAACTAAACATAAATTCTAAAATAGCTTTACATGTAGGGCGACAGGCATCTAGAATTGTTGCTTTAGAGTAATATACCGTCGGTGACATCTAAAATAGCTTAGTACGTATAACAGACATCCAAGACATAGCTTCAGGTCAGACATCTGAAATAGCTACGTGTAACACATCTTAGGAAATTATAGCTAAGTTAGCAGAAAGGTAAAATAGCTACAGATTCTCGATTACGTCATAATGCAGTTTATTTATTCATAAACAGAAAATATAGATCAGCAGGAAGACAACGTGGTCTTACAATAGCAAATTTGTATTTCTCGATCACGTTGGTTAAAATGCTGCCTATCAATATTGCGCGTCGAAGTTGAAAACGAACATATTTCAATATATTATTACTACTATCACACAATGTGATTTAGCAGACTCGCTTTCGACTATATAAACAGCTTTTTTTTTCTAAAATTAGACAATGATGCATTACAATTGATTGGAAGCAGTAAATATAATGGACGAAATGATCCAGATAATAGCAACAGAGTGACAGAGGTAAGATTTTACATTTACATAGTAATTCGAAAGTATTTTCGCTATTATTATCATTTGAATACTCTTTAAATAAATATTGTTGGGGTCTTACGTAGCAAGAAAGCATTCATTCTTAACCAGTTTAAATACATGTATAACTAAAAAAAAACCAAAAACAATGCAAATGATGTAAATTGAGTAGGATAAAATAGTGAAAATCCTTAACTGACTTTAACAATTAAGAATATTAACCAGTTATATTTTGGCAAAAAACTATTAATTCACAAAAATGCAGCTTAAAAGAATGACATGTATTTATTATAATTAAAAAGTAATAAAAAGATATGCTTTAAGGTAAATTGTTGCAAAAATTGCTTGCCTTTTGCCAAATCTAATCAGTTTACAGAATATTGTTTTTAAGTGAAATTAGATAGAACACAAGATACGGTTGGGGTTACTTTTATATTTTCTGTATACTTTTAATGTTGTCTTAAAAATAATGTTTTTATTTCTAATATTGGATAAGTTTGAAGTTCTTTCTTTCTTCATTTTTCTTACAGATCTCAGATTCCAGTAGTAGAAATAGACTTCTTAATCAGGAACAGACCAACAAGCGCCCAGTCTTGTTCTTGTCTATCACTTTTAATCTTTCTAAGGATTTAAAAATTATGGCTTCACTTTACATATCAGCTACCGGGCTCCTGTGCATGATGTGTGAACCAGGAACTTACAAAGAAATGGATTGCGTCATCAATATGACGTCAGCGACGTGTTCAGATTGTCCTGACAGAACTTTCCAAAAGATGAAAAATAATGCGGAATATTGCAACAACTGTTTGAGGTTCTGTGCGGATAAAAATCAAGTGATATCAGAGCCATGTACTAGAACTTCGGACACAAAGTGTCAATGTAAAGATGGGTTTTATTTTAAAACTCGGTCTGCTGATGGATCAGGGGGATATTGTATTGAAAATAACACAGAACAGATGATATCAACAGGTTAGGCTTTTTTTCATATAATATTTATTTTATTCTTTGATCAAGTAGTTCGAGTGTTTCTGCTTTACTTATATCTTTTATTTTTGTAATTCATGAATGTTTTATGGTTTTGTTTTGCACAAAATGTATTGAATGAATCAAAAGTATTGCAGATACAAATTTTAACATGCACAACTTCCCTGTTTGTTTGGAAAGCTTGGATATAATAAATGTCATACATAATAAACAATATATATCACTGTGAATTTAAAAATTGGTTAAAAAACTTGAAAAAATGCACAACTCATCATCCCATTTTTTTGTCTTTGTTACTCATTTATAATTTTAAGATTCACTCACTACACTAACAAGTCCAAACTTTGACATAAAACTTTAATTCAGAAGCTAACACCATCAATATTCAACAAGATATCTGATAATCAAGGGCACAAAAAAGCGGATCATGTTAAAAAATCTAAATTTAACAATTTTATTTTACAATGAATCGCAAATACCGGTATAAGGAATTGTCTAGTTAGTAGACAATACCAGGGACATCAACGAATCTTGGAAATGTGGGCTAATTAATGCAACCCTTTCTGCAAATTATCCCACGTTTCTAACTATCGTTGATGTCAAGGCATATCCAACAAACTGGACAGTGATCAAAAATTTGTATGTATATCATAATTAGCGACTTAAATTCAACGGGAATATAATCTTTATGTACATCTCAAAATGATGTTTTATATAATATTAAAATATTTAAACGGATACTCCCGTAAACATGGTTTGTATTGAGCAGTGAAAAATGACTGAAAGTGTAAGATCTGTCTGACTATCTCCTGTTCTTGTAAACTACTCCATGTGTGCTATATACTGGACGAAGCGCTGCACAGCACAATAGGAAGAGATAATTCTGATGGATGAAATAGGATTTATCGAGTGACGTATTCTAGTTTCACACGCATTTCCATTGTTATTTGCAGTAATCAGTTGTTAAAAATTAACCTTTTTTTTCTCTTAGAGGCCCCGTTTACGCAGAAGAACGTGACATTATGTGGAAACAACTCCATTTTTCCACTTTGCACAAATCTTATAGGAACTTCAAATAGTCTGACAGGTAGCAAATTACGCCAGATAAATAATCTTGCATGCAGAACTAAATTAAGACAGTATAAATTACTATTTTTACTAAATCTTGATGCCAAAATACAAAAAAAAAAAATGATGTAACTGTCTTCAGAAAATACACATTTTACACTGTGTAAAAAATTATTATAATGATTAGTAAATGTGACAGAAAAAAAATATTAAAATTTAATGGTAGTCTTATAGTTATACATTACTTATGGTGAAAAGTCGTAAATAATTATCAAAACAATGTACATGTATATATTTATATAACAGTTTATTTCACAGACACTGACCTTAAAAAAATAAACTTATTTTCTTAATAAAATACTAAGTATACTTTATTTTTCTTGTATGAAAAAAAATAATAATACGTATTTATAGTTATTATGTATGTTTTTTTTTTCTAAATAAGCAAATTAAGTAACGTTAGGTGCCTGTGGTGTAATTATATGATTTTTCTGCAGAGGCGGCGTACACAGCTGTAGAACGTGTGGTAATCACAGTTGTTCCTGTTGTCTCATTGGTTGCTTCTCTCGTCGGATTTTTGTTCCTCATTGTGTACTACACTAGAAATTCGGTATACAGGTAATAAAAAAAAGGGGGATTGGCAAAAGGCCAACTTACCTTGAAGTTTGAAAAATGCTTTTTTTTTTTTACATCTGATGCAAGGAAATTCAGATACAGCTGCATTTTTTTGTGTTTGAAATCTGCAAACTTTAGTAATATACAAAATTCTCTATGTGTTTCTCCTCATGTTACACAATCTCACCGCAGGTCTGATTTTGCTAAGCTATGATGAAATGAAATCAACACCAATGTAAAGATAAAATTATTAAAAATGACGAAAACAAGAAAAAGATATACTTAACATGATAAGGTATCAGACCAAAAGATATGCACACAATACATATTACAATATAGTGTGTAAAATATATAATCTATAAGAAGTTAAAAGCATTAGGAATGCAGAAAAATGATGGCATATCAAAAATAAAATGCGAATATTGCACTGTCTAATTGCTAAATTATATTCGGCAATCAGCTTAGGCGGCATTTATTTTTATGAAATATTATATCCGCAATATAAAACTACACTGTATTTATTAAATCAGTAAATTTTCTTTTACAGAACACCTCGTTTAAAAATTTCAGAGGGGATGCGAGGTAAGATCGCTTTCGAAAAAAATTCAATTCATATATGAAAGATGCTACGTATTTCGAGATAACTATTTAATGGACCATAAATTGCAAATATTTTTTTCTGTTTGAATACTGTACTTTAAAAACTTTCATTCAAACCACCAGATATTTATCAAACAATAAACACATGATAAGTTAATTTTTTCTTCAATTATATGTACAAGAACTGCATTTATTTCTTATCTCTTCGTCCTTAAATAGACATGAACATTGTAAATTGTTTTTATGATTGATGGATTAATTGATTGATGTTTAACGCCCCTGTCGTAAAACACATGGAGTTAGAATTTTTCAGTATCATTTCAATCTTTATGAAAAGTCGCTGATTGATATGAGTAATTTTTGAGTCACGTTTACGTCACACCGGCCGGTCTGCGCCCTCACGGCGATCGCACAGCGTCTATAAAAAGGGGGTAATCGCATTGGAGTCTCTTACAGCGCCGTGACAACGCGGCGAGATCTCCACTAAACGCGGTAGGGTCACGTATGGTGATCTAGAACGCCAGAGGACGGTAATCACTTTGGGCATGCACAAAGTACGCGCCGTGTGATTGCAGTCTGATAAGAAAGCAGTGGAAAAGTAGTATAATCGCCGTAGCAGCGTGTTGAGATCTCCAACAACGCAGTGGGAGCTCCGTGTGAACGACGTTAATGCACCAGTCACACATTCACGGATCAACTCCACGGTTCTACTACGGAATATTTTCCACGGTTGACACCGGAAAATCTAATTATCGTTAATTGATACGGAGTTAATACGGATGCACTACGGAATGGATACGGATTGTTACGTACTTACAAGAATAGGGTAGAAAAAAGATTAATTAAGTGCCTGTTTGAAACGGTTTGCTTCGGTAAAATACGGTTTTAATACGGAAACAATACGACTTAATACGGAGTGACAAGTGCCAAGTCGACTGCGCTACGGATGAATACAGTTTGCTGCGGTGTAGGTAAGGATTAATACGGATAAAATCGGTCTTTTACGGGACGCCACGATTCACTACGGGGCTTCTCGGACAATCACGATTATTATACAGTCCGTGGAATCCGTGCACCAGTTCAGTTCTTTTCCAAACTCTAATAAAGATACCACCCAAAAAAGATCTTGTAAACGAGTAATTGCAAAAAGTAAAAACCAGGCGGTGGATGAAACTTGTATAACGCAAGCAAGCGAGGATGCTCCGGAAAACAACACAGGGTATCTCATTCTCATGATGTTTTGAAGGCACACGCAGGCTGAAACTATGACGTGCACAGTTCCGGGCTCCTGATTCATCACTGATAGTAAACATCTGAATCGATTTGCAAGAATACCAAACACATTTTCAACAACTCTTCTACTTCTAGATAACCGATAGTTGAAAATCCTCTCGTCATAAGAAAGACCTCGTCTAGAGAAAGGTTTCATAAGCCGGGTCCTCATACCAAAAGCATCGTCTGCGATAATATAGTAGCCAATGGGTTTATCATCACCGGGAAAAGGGGTCGCTGTTGGCAGTCCCATTAATCCTCTTTCAATGGCTTGTTTAAGATCACTCTGGTTCCAAATCTGGGCGTCCGAAAATCCACCTTGAGCGCCAATATTAATCCATCGGAACTTGTAGTCAGCGTCAACTAGAACCATCAGAACAATAGAGTGGTAACCTTAATAGTTATAATACAACGATCCTCCATTTTTTGGACACCTAATGGGTACATGTTTTCCGTCGAGAGCACCTAGTGTGTGGGGGAACTGCCACTTAGCCTCAAACTGTTCTGCTATGGCTTTCCACTGTTCAGGTTCCGTGGGTGTCAAGAGAATATGTCTTCTGAATAAACAGACACTATGGCCTCGCATACCTCTCTTACTATACCACAGATTGTATTGTGGGCAACTCTGAAACCATACATCAGTGTGTGGTAGCTGTCCCCCGTAGCTAGGTACCTCAGAGTAATTGCTAGTCTCAAACCAGGGTCAATAGATTTCCTGTACCAAGTGTTGCGCTTGTTAATCTTTGGAGTAACCATGTGTAACAGTTCTTGAAACATAAGAGGGTCCACGCGTACAAAATTCCTATATGCAGATGGATCTTCTGCATACATCTCGGACATTAAGGCTTCATACTGGCCATGGATAGGTCTTCGGAGAAGTCAATCTCTCGTCCACCATCTCCGCTGCCTTCGATCACGTCTCTGGTCTTAGATGGCCTGAATCATTGCCCTGGCATTTTGTGAAATGTCAATGTCTAGTTCTAGCATTTCCAAAGCAAGCATCAGTTGTTGATTATTCATGTTTGATAAAAATTTTGCTACTGATGGTCAGACACACAGTTTTTATAGGGTTTATAAATGTCAGCTGAATGACTGACATGAAAAATGATAAGCATGGCAAGCATGGCAACGCTTCATATCCTAGAATTTTGCCATGTGCCTTCGTACTCCGTACAGTGTCGCTATAAAACGTATAAAAACGTAATAAATCTTAAGATTCCTTTGTTATTCGTAATAAAACGTAATTGGCCCGTGTCGCACCGTAAAAAGATCTTGGCAAACTCTTCTTATCCGTAGTAAATACGTACTAGAACCGTATAATCACGTAGCTCTCCGTATCAAATCGAAACAATCCTTGACAAATTGATACATACGAATTACTACGGATTTATACGGAGTTAAAACGGACTTCTACGTTCTAAAACGGTTTAGTAAGTTTTACTAAGGAAGTACTACGGTGGTTTCATCCGTAGTGGAATTTTGAACATGTTCAAAAATTGTCGCAGCTATACAAGTATTGCTACGTTTGGATACGATAACAGACGGAAAAGCCACGGGTCAATACATATCGCCACGAATGATGCCGGATCGCTTCCGTAGCTAACCCGGCATTTAATCCGTGAATGTGTGACTGGGGCATAAGACGCACATGATCGCAGCATGAACACAGTGATAGTAGACTTCGCTTCTACGGAGACCTCACGGAGAAGTCACGGAGTCCTTGGAGATGACACTGCGTTTCTATCGCGCTTTTACGGCGCTTGTAATGAGATTAATCGTCTATTTTTATTTAGTTTATTTTTTGTGAGTGCGATTATACAACGACAGCATGGGGGTGTCCCTGCGATCTTTGGCGTGTTTACAATGCGCTTTCATAGTGTTGTTAGACCGTTGTCAGCCAGCTCACAAAACAAGAGCAATAGTCTCATATTTGATCAGCAATAATTCTAAAGTAGCATTTAAGTAAAATGGGGAAGAGAAAATTACACCAGAACTCTGTTCTTTCAATGGAGTTGCGGTGAAATTACTTAAATTTTGTAGCATCTTTTCAGTGTGTTTACTATTCTTTTACAGTGTGTTTATTTTTTTCTACATTCATAATGAAATCAAAGAAAATATAAAAACGCATCTGGATCGATTAAATGGAAAAAAGGATCTTAATACTAAAACTATTAATAATGATTTAGTACTAAGTTATTCAAATGGATCATTTTTAAAAGACAAAGAAGTCTTTTCATCACTTAACTTGAATCTTTAATAAAAAATGTTTTACGCTCTCTCTGAATATATATCCATGGGTGAAGGACGCATTGTGAACGAGTTCATCGTAAAGAGAACGCCGTGAACGCGAGGTGAATCTACTAGCACGTCGTGAAAACTCCTTGAAGCGCAGTCAATTGCAAAGTGATCTCCATGGGAACGCAGTTACTGTAGCACGTCGTAGAAACGCGTCGATCGCCGTAGGGACGCCGTGTCATCTTCACTTTGTAAAAAATTTACAGAAATTTGTGAAATTTTCCTGCGATTCCATGGCGATTTAAAGAATTTAAGACGTAATGACTCCGTGTGAACGCAGGTCGGTGTGACAGGGCCTTAATGTAACCAAAATGTGACACCATTCACGTGCGAAACACCACAGTGATTATTTCATAGGAATAATTACAGATAAATTATTTATGTTGATTATATTTTCTTTTCCAGAACCGTTGCGTGACGAAGAATGGCGAACACTAAACCTGTTCGTTGCTACTCAAGCGTTTGTTAAAAAATACAAAATGTTTCTGCGACAAGTGTTTGGTACGTTTGTTCCTTGCAGTCATATTTACAATATATAATCAAGAATATTTCAATATTGATTTCAAAATTTAATATCTGATACAAATATGTCTTCAAAATGAATTAAGAAAAAAATGAATAAATAAATTATTTATTTATACTGTGTATCAGAATTAATTTTATTTTCGAATGTTGCAGGTCAAACTTTCAGTTTTCTTTTTCAGAATTGTCTGGGGAATATGAAAACATTGACAGTATCATATGGATCCATGAATCAAATCACCCAGTCAACAAAACGGAAGTAGTCTTCGAATCGCTACAAACTTGGCGCCAAATGTTCAATCGGAAGGCCTCTGTTGATATCATTTGTGCTGCGTTGTCCAAAGCTGGGTGTAAAAAGCAAGTCGTTCAGATGGTTTATGATAAACATAAAGAAATAGTGGATTCTCGTGTAAAACCACCTGCTTTGAGGAGATCGCAGAGTTGTGCGGAAGGTTGTCTGTTAGAGAACGTAGGACCTATAGCGGGAAAATCTGTTGTAGAGATGTCTGCTTATATATAACTAGAACAATGCTTCCTCTGACACGGAGATTTGAATTTTACAATAAATAAAAGTAAACCGCAACTGGTATTAAACTCAGTTGTCTGTTCACTAAATTTTCCTGACTTGCTACATAATTATGTAAATTATCTAAATTTCTTTTTGTCTACTTTGTCTAGTGGAACTAGGCTTATTGTCTGTTTTCTTTTTAAAAATATTTTGCTTTTCATTTAGCAGGATAGTAATTGCAACCAGCAGTATATGTGACCACAACAGTGGAATACAGAATTAAGTTTGGTAAATTTATCGTCATGAGTTTAAGTGCTTTTTTGTACTCGGAAGATATTGATGATGGTTCATGTACATGTAGCACTGGGATATTAATTGTAAACTTTAGCAACAAACATTGTGGTCCCTAGTAATATTCCTGTAATATCCAAAAATGCTATTAATACAAACCTTTGATGCATTTCTTAATTAAAGCTAGGTAATCACTCTACCCGATTAAATGTATGAAATATCATCAAAAATCACAAAGATGTTCCACCCAATTGCAATATATCTCTTCACTACAAAACAAAATTATAAAAATATTGATTATAAACAGATCTGACACCTACATTTTATTATTTTTAAATGTGCTGTGATCATTATTAGAATATTATTATTTTATTATAAATAGCATTTGTAACACAGGTGTTTATGATAGAAGACTCAATCAAACAACTGACTCGCATATAAAATTGCAACTGACACAGATTTATATATAAGAATACATTTATATATTCTTCGATTTACTTGACTTGTGCAAGGAGGGCTTCAATTGTAATTATATAAAAAAAACTGACTCAACTGAGATAATTTTTTCATGGCATTTGACATATACTTTTCTACTTGTTTTGATCGTCCAATCTATTACCTGAATATTGGACCAACGTTAAAGTTGTTTGTTTTGTGTGAACATTACTCCATTGTAAAAACAGCGTCGTACAAATGGGAAAAACCATATTACCTATGATGGAAAATACAATGAAATTGAAGTGTACAATGTATATGTGAAGACTTTTTCCTTAGAAATTGACGAAATCTTAATCATAAGTTCAACGACTAAATCGTAGAGGAACTTTTATAGCCGAGCCCACAAAATGATACCGAGCTATCATTAGTCACTGTTATAACGACAAAGTCCATGGCATGCTTTGGTATGAGAAACCCCAAATGTCAGAGCGTAAAGTAAAGGGTGTTTAATGACTCTGTGAAAATTTCATTAAATGTTATTTAGTAGTGTACGAGAAGTTAAACGCATACAGAGATGGGTACCCCCATTTATGAAAAAGGTTTGAATTCGCTTTTCTTTGGGAAACCCAAATACATGGACATCTGTCAGATAAAAATGACAAGAAGATGCACAATATAACTTTGTTGTGAGAGTTTCTTCAAAGTAGATTCAGTGAGGCTAGTCAAGTTGTGGATAATGGATGTGAGAGGTACTGGGATCGATACCCGGATTCTCCACCAATTATCCTAACCGGTCCAACACCAAAACTTTCTAAACCTCGGACACTGGAGTATTTGAAAGGGGCAGAGTCCAGGATGACATTGGGCAGATCATGTTTTCTTTGTAAGCCGGAATCTTTGGCTGTGCAAGTGAGAGGACACACCAAGCGGAAGAACTCTGACTTATCCTTGAGCTTGGACGGAGTGACGCAAGTCAATTTTAATTTATGCGAATGACTCTTGAGCATTAAAATTCCACCTCCACTATACGAGGACCTTTCCAGACCAGAGCGTCTCACAGGTTTACAGGAGTGGCATTCTTATCCGACCTGTATAAAATGCATCCAGAGACAAAATCTAGATAACAACTAGCTCTTTATTATAATATCTGTTTTTAATATTTATAATTACAATAGATCATTTCAAACATTATACTTAACATTATGATATAACTTAGCAATTATAATATTAAATGTTTTAACTTGTAAATAAATTTTACAAAATTAACTTTGCAAGTACATGTATTATAAAAACGCGCAAGTCTACAAAATTATCTTACCTGTATAAATTGCTATGAGAGTCAGTTACATTGTCTGTCCGCGCTGCTTTTTTTAAATTCCTTTATCCATACATCCCCATATTTGTTATTCCTTCAAAAATTGCAATGATGACCCTTACATGACCTTATTCTGTTTCTCAACACTCTTTATTTTCCTACATGTGATGCGTTTTTTTTTAAAAAAAATCTTTCTTTTACATAACCTTTAAATTCTGTCTGTCCTTGTAATTTATTCTGACAATTTACCTTTGATCTCATCAATACCATTGGTTACTCCTTCATGAGATATATGATAACGAATAATATTCAAGCTCAAAAGTCCATTCAACAATTTTGGAGTAGAGGAAACAGGGAAATCTAAAACATCAGAGACGTGATCAGGTACCATGGAGAAGTGAGCACCCTCTGCCTACCGGTCACACTAATCGTGTGCTCCTTCTTATGATCGGGAAACAACGAATAAATCCATTGACAATTCAGTGTGTAAATATTGGTGTAACAATTAATATGAAAAACATCTCTCAGCATTAGACTTGATGATAAAATGTATTAGCTGAAGAGGTCACTGTATCGACCATAGAAATTACGAAATGATGACTTTAAATGAGACTGTTTATATTCTTGTTTTATCCACATGTTTGTAAATAACTTACCTCGTTTAAGATATTTTTCATACGTAGAGCATGCTCTAGCGTATTGAATCAACTGAGAGATATAAACCCCGTATGCAGGTGAAGATATATTACTGAATAAGTAAGGGAATTCGAGTAACCAAATATATCTTTTGATAATTACATTTAAAACAAACGCATGACAATAAATCATTTTCTTAGATTCATGCAGGAGAAAAGGACAAACATTTGTGACGAGCGTCATGCTTGCTTTTATCACCAGAGCTCGAATCATGTTATCTCTCTCAATCAAATACACAGAATATCTTTCAATCTTATTTCTATATACTATGTATAAGCGTATGAGACCAACAGACAGACACACGTACCATCACTATATGCTAACACAAGCTGAAATACATAAAAAATGGAAAACGGCTGCTCTTTAAGAAGGATACTTTAAAGCTGTAATAGTCACTGCAATGCGTGTAACAAATCGATTAAATCTGGAACCAGAATCAATACTGAACAACTGTAAGGTAAGGAATAGAGACAAATTGTATAAATAAGCGAGTTAAGAGCCATTCTCTGTAATGATTTGAAATTTTATATAGGAGCTGTGGCACGCATAGTCTCAGAATTTCTCCAAACTCTCTATGATAAAAGTCATTGATACCCTAAACTAAAATCAGACAAAAATTGGTTGCTATGTTTTATAGTTACCATGGCAACATGTCTTAAAGTTCGAAAAATGGCATTTTTTAACATGTTTAGAGCCCCATACTTAACATTTGCGGCAAAGCAAACAATTGGCAATGACTGTTTCCAAAAGTTGAAGGTCAGATGTTTCAAATGCATGATAAACATGTTTGGTAAATCAACTATTACATACGTTACTATGGTAACAAAGTATTCAAAAGTAAAAAAAATATTCATTAAATTTCATAAAGTCATAAACGTAAAAATAAAAAGCAATTATAGGATGAAATGTGACCAAATAATAGAAAAAAGAGCCGTGAAACATATACCAAGAACAAAATATGATATTTCATTTTGGTTGGCAATGGTTGCCAAGGTTTTTATACCACAGAGAGCCTTCAATGTAACACTCTGTATGTTTAAATCTGATCCTATCTTTTAAAAAAGCACATTTCCTCATAACTAATGATCAATTTTTAAAGATGTTGGTGTGCTCCTAGTTTTCCCATTTGAAAAAATTCAGATTAGATTCTTTAAATAGAGCGTTGCTATGGAAATAAGCAGAAAATATATGCTTAAAAACCTGAAAAATATTTTCTTTCCTTGGATACGTACCCTTAAATGTAGATTCCCAAAACTTTTATGATTGATATTTATTAACAGCTAACCCGACTTTTAATTTTGACTATCATCCAACCTCTAAGTGGATGCAAAAAGTTGGCACACAGGGATTAATATTGATATAAAGTTCACAAAATCGAACATTTTCCCTTCTTGGTAACCATAGCAACGGTGTTGTTTTCTTTATCAAATTTTATCAATATATGATATTCAACTTCAGTTCTAACAGATAAGTACTATTCAAGTTGAGTCCTTTAATTTGTTTCTTGATTAATTGGCAATTTAATTCTTAATGCAGCGAAAAATAATTCACTTTTAAGCACTGGTTGTTTGTTTCCATGGTAACACTGCAAAGTAGCAATTATACCCAATTTTTCTTATGGTTTTGGTGTTGCAAGGTCCTAAGGATGCATTTTTGCCACTCTTGAATTTTCATGTTTTTCCTCTAGTCAGTAGCATTAACCTAATCCTAGTTACTGGTTTTGTATGCTTACACTGTGTTACCATGGCAACCATAAAAGTTATTTATAGAATAATATTGCTTATACTTATATACTTAAGGTCAAACATTTTCATTGTTTTTCTTAAGCCGCTGATTGAGTTTGAGCATGTAACACCTACCATTAGTGAATACGGAGTGTTTTTTAGCATATTTCAGCATTTTAAATGTATTCCAAATGTACCCTTGGTTACCACTTACTTCGAGATATATTCTAAACAGTTTCTTTACAGTATAAGTGACATCAAGGTGTCATGTTTTTGTGAGAATGGTTTGTTTGCTTTTTCTAGTTTTT